GCTGGTGGTTCAAACCCACCAGCCACTCCTTGGAAGGAAGATGGGACAATCTACTTCCGTAGTGATACTGCCTCGGCAACCCAAGGAGGGGTCGCTATGAGTCGGGTCTGACTCGATGGCACATAACAACAACAATTTTGTTTCACATTTTTCTCCCACTCCATCTAGGATCTCCAATTTTGATCCCATTCCGAGTAGTTGGCAGTGGTATTTGGGCACTGTCTTGTTCTTCTGGCCTCAGGGTCCATTAGTCCTCTGGGCTGTTTCCATGTGTCTTTGATTTTCTTCACTCTTCTTTGCTCCAGATGAGGAGGGGCTAGTAATTGCATCTTAGATTCTTAGATGGCCACTAGCAAGCTTTTTATTTTTATTTTAAATGTTAATATGATTTTATTTTTAAAAAAATGTTATTTTATTTACAAAGCAAAATTTGTTTTACATTCAGCAGTTTGTGTACATTTTGATTTCATGCCCCAATTACCAACCCGGACCGTAACAAACTCTCCTCCCCTCCCGTCCCTGTGACCACTCCCCCCCAGGCCCTTCTTAACTGTACACCCCTGTCTGTCCAACGTTCCCTGTATGTGAATGCTGTCTTTCTAGTGCCCTATGGCCGATTGCTCTAAGGGGTGTTATCTCCCTAGAGTAGGTGGATGCATTGCCTTGGGGTAGGTGTTCTACATGTAAGTCTTTTTAATGTTGGGCTGAGAGCCAATCCATGGGAGTGAGTCCAACTCTAGGCCCTAAGGGTAACCTGGGGCCATAGTCTTGGGGGTTCTACCAGACTCTATCCGACCAGTAATTCTGGTCATTTTTTGCTTTTGGATTTTGTTCCACATTTTTCCTCCTACTCTATGCGGGATCCCTTCCTGAGTGATTGGCATTGGTAGCCGGGCACCATCTAGTTCTTCTGGTCTTGGGGTCCATCATATCCTTGGACTAATTGTTTTCAGATGCCTTTGATTTTCTTCACTCTTCTTTGCTCTAGATGAGAGGAGACCAATAGTTGCATCTTAGATGGCTACTCAAGAGCTTTTAAGACAAAGTAGGTTGTGGAACAAGATTTTTATGTACTATGTTATGCCAACTGAATTTTGTGTCCCCTGAGACTATGGTCCCAAGTCAGCAGGCCCAGTGATTCTCTCTTTCAAGGTGTATGGTTGTCTCTGAGAGGTTACTCCAACTGTCTTCCGTTGCTTCTGTAATGTGTGTGGCTAGTTTTGTAGCACAAGTGCATATGTAAGATGATCTTCAGCTAATTCTATCCTTGGTCTAGGGTATACTCCTTTTCACTAACCCCCACCTGATCTTCTCACTTGTCTATGCATTTATCTGTAGCCTGGTGTTTGGTGTTAGTGGTAATGCAGTGTTGTGCATGTACTAGTGTTTGCCTCTGTTGTCCATATGTGCATGTTTCAGTGTCCTTCCTTTCCCCAATGTCATCATGCTGGTCACAGACTTTTTCCATACTGTCCCTTCCCTCACCCAAATCAAACATGTGACCCCTAACTAGCCGAAATTTTCCCTCTCCTTCCCTCCCATCCCCAATAACCTACAAAATGGGTTTCCTTCCCTAAGTAAACCTTTCCTTGACTTTTTACAATAATAGGCTCATACAATATTTGTCCTTCCACTGGCAAGCTTTTAAGACTTCTGTGGCTACTCACTCACCAAAGTAGGATGTAGAACAATGCTTTTGTGTACTATGTCATGCTGCTTGGGCTTAATGTCCCCTGCCACCATGGTCCTGAGCCTGTAGGCCCAGTGATCTCCTCCCTCAAAGTACGGAGTTATGGCTAAGAAGTTAATTTTTAATAGTCAATTTTAAATAGTTCGTATTTTGTTCTCATGAGTTCAGTAGTTTACTTAAATATTAAGCAGATCAAGAACTACTTGTAATTATTTAAACAAAATAAATATCTAATTGAACCATTTCTACACTGTGTAGGTTACTTCATTCCTTTTTATGGCCATACTACATTTTATTTATGCATTCATCAGATGATAGAGTTGCTTTTGCTTTTGGGCGACTGTGACTAATGCTCTGTGATTCTTCGTGCACCAGCCCTCTCCAGAGAAGCTGAAGCCACTGCCCTTGCCGATATGCCTTCAACATAGAGAAACATCATTTCAAGGGAATTAGACTCGGGTCAGTAACCTAGCATCTCTACTTCCCCTTCTGTGAAATGTTCCAAAGAAATCCTGGAGAGAGTCATGTCTTCCTGCTATTCCACGAGGTTTTGGGATCCAGCCTGTTCAGCTTTGAGGGGCGGGATTTTGAGCCAGGGCTATTCTGACTGACTGCCACTTAACCGGGCCTCAAGGTCTTATCTCTGAGATGAGGATAATTTGAGGAACAAATGAGATGATGTCTGTGAACATGCTCTTTAAGCTGTAAAGCGCTGTTGATGTGATTGGTGATGATAATGGTGATGATACTGAAAGGCGGGTTCTCAGGGCTGGGACTTCAAAAGCCATGTTGACCTTACTCTGATGCTGGAATCACTTCTCCCATATTCCTACAAAGTGGCTGCCGAGCCTGAACCCCTCTGGTAACAGCAAGCTCAGTATATCCTGTGATGGCTGTTCTTTGCTTTTCAGACAATGTTCTCTTTCTTGAGTTGAAAAATCATAATACAATAATATGGACTATACCAGGCACTGTGAGAGGCACTTTCTACACAGTAGCTCATTTGATCTTTCAAATAACACTGTCAGGTAAATATATCACTATGCACTTCCATTTAACAGGTGGGAAAATAGGGTCAGAGAGGTTAAGGGTCTTGCTAGGGGTCCCAACAGGTAGTAACTCAGTGTTTGAACGCAGGCCCAGCTGACTCCAAAGCTCACACACCTAATCTCTGAGTGGTTTTGTAGTCCTTCCCCATCAATCCCCAGGCAAGAGTTTTAGTTCAGTCCCTGGAGTTACATGGAGCAAGGCTTGCCCTTCTTGTTCACACGTTCACATTATCCCTTGACCACCAACCTTTGCCAGATGTTCACCTCACCAATGTTGCTGTGCAAAAGACATCTCCCGACTACCATCCAGAGAAGGTGAGGAAATGGGGCTTCTGCTCTCCAGGGGCCAGCCTTCTGGGACTGCAGTGGGTATGACAGTGTGGCATGGCAAGGAGCCCAGTACAGGCCTTGGGTTCATTGTTCACTAATGAGGTCAGGCCCACCGCTCACATTTGCAGAGCCCAGGGCAAGGGTCCAAATGGAAACCCCCCCATAGGTCTACATATTAAAAGATAGTGTCAAACCATCCTTCTGTTTTGACAAATACACTTAACTTGCAAGGACAGGTTCAAATTCAGAATCCGCAGACTTCTTGGAGATAAGAGCCAGAGCAGGAGGCATGGAGAGAGCTGGTCCCCAGCTCACATGAACCACCTCCTTTTCCCAGCCCCAGCTCCATCCTACATGATGAAAGGCCTTGTGCAGACACATCTTGCAGCTCAGCCCTAGGGTTCACAGGGGCAGTGCATTCTGTCCTCAGGAAGACAAGCCCAGGGAGGAGGCCTGCACAAGCAGTTTGGGCAGGGACTTCTGGGGGACCCAGGCCCCAGTTTAGAAAAGGAGGCACAGGCTCTGTGTGAGCATGTTCCCCAGGACCCGCAGATCTGCCCCCACGAGGAGGATGGACCCAGAGTCCTTCTAACCAGAGGACTCCATGGCCTTCTTGCCTAGGTCTGAGGGCTGCGCTGCCAGCATTTATTTGACAGTCCTGACAGGTCAGGTCCCAGTTAACTGAGGCCCCTCTTCAGGGCTGCAAATGGATGCTCCAGCGCTTCCGGCAGTATCTAGCGTCCAAGCACGGGCCCGAGGCAGTGGAAACACTCTTCAGCGACATGGACAACATCTTTGTCAAGAGCCTGCAGAGCGTGCAGAAGGTGATCATCAGCGACAAGCACTGCTTCGAGCTGTACGGTTACGACATCCTCATCGACCGGAACCTCAAGCCGTACGTGGACAGGCAGGAGGGCAGCACGCTGTGCACTCAGACTTCCCGGGTTTGAGTCTCAGCTCTGCCACTTCCTACTTGCGTCGCCTTGGGTGCACTTTCTTTCTCTGTACCTCACTTTGCTCCTCTGTAGAATGGAGATGTCACTGCACGGATACTTGATAGGGATGTTATGGGGAGTAAATGAGATCCTGCCTACAGAGCACTGAGCTTGGTGCCTGGCACTAAGAGGCCTTTCCCGAATATCTGCTGAGCCAGGGGACCCTCTCCCAGTACCAGGCAAGGAACTGTCCTTCTGCGTCCTGGTGCTTTGAGGATGCAAAGTGACATGAAGGGATCATTAGTGCCATGGTGATCCCTGACAAGAATGTGGTGCACTCACACAGTGCCCCAGGGAGGAGTAGAACAGGCCTGAGCTGACACAGGCCACAGTGGTGGCTCTCACACAGGACACAGATGACACCACAGGACACAAGCCCAGCGTGAGAGGGGCTCGGGGCCACACAGCAAGTCAAGGGCGGAGCAAGCCCAGGGCCCATGTTTCTAGGCTGGGCCCTTTCCCCACCAGCACTGCTGGTCCCAGGGACCGACCTCCTTCCCTAGGTCACCCTGCAGATATTGGGGAGCATTCTGAGCCAGGAATGAGTGCCCTAAAGCAACACATAACTCAGGCCCTGGTTAAAGGGAGACAGGATCTGCACCAGCAGATCTGTCTCCTTTGCCCCTTGCAGCAAGATGTGGTTACGGGGCATCAGAGTGGATGGACCCTGACGGAGGAACAAGCAGCATATAGTGCAAAGCCGGCCTGGGGGCTCTGGTCTCCCACTGACCCACTGCCAGGTTCCTTCCTGCTCTGGGTCCCAGGTTCCTGTCTGTAAAGTGAGGGCGTTACTCAAAAACAGAAGTTGCAACCTGGAAGCCTTTGGGCTGCTTTCTGCCTGCAGACACATCGAGCTTGGCCCCCTGAATATTTTTGTTTTTAATTTAAATTCATTGACAATCTCTAAAAATTGGAAGATGTTCACACAAAAATCTGACTTTTGGCTTTTCTGGAAAAATTGACACCCTTGTAATTTTGGATGCATACCCCACAAGGCAACATTCTCCTGAAGCAAGTTGTAGCCACCCGTTTAGATGTGGTATGCCCTTTCTGGTTCACCACAGTCTCCACCCTTCCCTATCGTCTCCCCGATGTGATATGGCAGGTCACCCATAGGTGTACTTTCACCATCGTCCTTCCATGGTGATACTGTGGTTAAAGTGCTCAGCTACAAATTGAAAGGTCAGTGGTTCAAACCCACCAGCTGCTCCACAAGAGACAGATGTGGCAATCTGCTTCTGTAAAGATCTACAGCCTTGGAAACCCTGTGAGGCAGTTCTACTCTGTCCTATAGGGTTGCTATGAGTTGGAATTGACGTAACGGGCAGTGGATTTGGTTTTTTTGCTTATGGTGGAACCGAGAGGAAAGGGAAGTTTTTCTTGTGCTCACTTCTCTACTGGAAGAGAGAAAAATGTGAACCTGAAGTCACTACAACCAGTCTTATACCCCACGAACTTCCCTCATTAAATTACCTACCTAGCCCCTGTGGGGATTTTAAGTTTATGATCATTGTTTCCCAACAGTTTTAGCCACTGGAACCTTTCTTTAAGGTGGAAAAGTGGAGAGAGCAGGCAGGGTTGAATTGAAATTGGGCCTCGGGCACCCCGTCCAGATTCTCACTGGAATCCCAGGGGCTTTAGGGCCTCGCTAACCCTCAGGCTCTCCTCTCATTCATTCTCCAGGTGGCTCCTGGAGGTCAACGCATCTCCATCGCTGACAGCCAGCAGCCAGGAGGATTATGAGCTTAAGACTTGCCTTCTGGAAGACACCCTACATGTTGTGGACATGGAGGCCAGGTGAGGGAGGGCAGCCTTGCTCCTGCATGCCAAGGGAGAGAGAGAACTCAGAACTCTGGGACCTGAGTAGGCTTCAGAGATGGCTCTGACCTGACCTACCATTTTACAGATGGAAAGACTGAGATGGTAGGGCAGAGCCAGGGCGACTGCAGCTTTCAGAGTTTTCAGTCCAGCAGAATTTTCCTTGAAACTTTCTAACTTTGGGACCTTAGACTGGCCACATCACCTCTCTGAGCCTCAGTTTCCTCACCTGCAAAATGGGAAGCTAAGTCTCGGGTTGTTAGGTTGACTTAGCAAGACAATGTATTGTGAGGCACCTTGTTCACAGTAAGCACCCAAAAAGCAGTTATTTGTTGTTATAATGGTGTATATCTATCTCATCTTTGAGAAGCAGAGTCTGTGTGTACGAGTCACGTCTGCTGTATTAGATACGTGTTAGTTAAGGCTGTGTTAGTTAGGGTTGTTTTGGTAGCAAATTACAGAAACTCGTCTCAAACTGGCTTATGCAAAAGTGGGCCAAAAAGGAATTTATTGACTCATATAGTGGAAAAGTTCAGGGTCTAGCTTCAGGAATGGCTGAATCCAGGTGCTCAATCTACTTTGGATGGTTTATCTGCTCTGTCTCTGCCTCAGTCTATCTGTCTCTCTTTCTTTTACTGTCTACCTCCATTTCTTTCCTGTATATTAACATTTCCCCAATTATTCCAGCAAAAGTACTAAGGCTGACTCTCACTGGAGGAGACTAGGTCACATGCCCATCCCTGCATCAGTCACTGTGACCCTGGCTGACCAGACCTAGGTCTAGAGCCAGGAGTTGAGGGTCAACTCTTCCCAAGCCCTGCTACACTGATTCATTCACCAAACATTTGAGTCTCCTGGGGGTCAGGCCCTGTGCCAGGCACTAGGGACATAATAAAGAATGTGACAGACCCAGTCCCTGCCTTTGCAGAGCTTATGGTCTTGGGGGGGACGCGGAAAGCAGACATTAAATCAGAAATCCCAAGTAGGTGCATGTTACCAAGACCAAGTGTGGGATCTTTGGGGACAAAAACAGAGGATCCTTCTGAGACCCTATGTGGGCACCAGGGAACTATCCAGTGAATAAATGAACAAAAGGAATTCAGACAGGGTGGGCACGGTTAGGGTGGTAGGCGGGACCTGGCATGGGCCTTAGAGCCCCATCCCTTGCACCTTTGTTTACCCTTTGTGTCCCCTGCCTGTCCAGGCTTACAGGAAGGGAGAAGCGAGTCGGTGGCTTTGACCTCATGTGGAATGATGGCCCTGTCAGCAGAGAGGAGGGGACTCCTGACCTGTCAGGAATGGGGAACTTTGTGACCAACACACACCTTGGTATGTGGGGCCAGGTGGGGAGTGGGCACCAGGGGTATGTCTGTGGAGGTGCCTGGGAACCTGAAAGCAACCTGGCACACTGCTTATACTGAATTCAGTCTGCCACTTACCCGCTGTGTGACTTTGGGCAAGGTACTTAAAGTCTCTGTGCTTCAGTTTCCTCATCTGTAAAAGAGATTAGTTTCTGTCTCAATATAGGAGTCCCTGGGTGGTGCAACATGCATGGCTGCTGATAGGCTGGGTGTTCAAGTCCACGCAGAGGGGCCTCAGAAGAAAGTCCTGGTGATCTACTTTCAGAAATTCATTCATTCAAAACTCTGTGAGGCGTAACTCTCCTCAGATATTCATGGGGTTGCATGAGTCAGAGTTCACTCGATGGCAGCTGGTTTTACTGATTTATCTCAATATATGCCTACAACAAGGAGCTCTGGTAGCGTAGTGCCTAAGGCACCTGACCGCTAACCAGAAGGCTGGCGGTTCAAACCCACCAGCCACTCCTCAGAAGGAAAGTTGGGCAATCTACTTTCGTAGTGATACTGCCTCGGAAACCCAAGGAGGGGTCACTATGAGTCGGGTCTGACTCTACGGCAAATGACAACAACAACAACATGCCTACAACAGAGCCCAGAACCACTGAGAGGGATTATTATTAATCTGTCAGCTGCAAGTAATGGTGGATTTCTTTTTATTTTTTATTTTATTTATTTTTATTTTTTTAATTGTGAT